GCTCTGCATAGCAGGGCCATACAAAGCAGTGGGCTTACAGTGAAACACAGACACAGCCCCCATAAACAGCACACAGTTAACCCTTTCATTGCCCCACATGTTAACCCCTTTCTGCCCAGTGCTATTAGTACAGTGTCATTTTTTTTTATTATTATTATTATTTATACAGGATTTATATAATGCCAACAGTTTGCTCAGCGCTTTACAATATAACGGGAGACAATACAGCAACAATACAGTTCAATACAAGAGGGTTAGGAGTGCCCTGCTCCTTGGAGCTTACAATCTAAGAGCACTGATCACTGTATTGGTTTCACTGGGGAAGTCAGTGACACCAAGTTAGTCCCCCCCAGTATCAGAATGCCCGCCGTAGTCCCGCTATAAGTCGCTGATCGCCACCATTACTAGTTTAAACAAAGAATATATATATATCCACCGCCATTTATAGATGCTATAACTTCCATGTAAACCAATTAATTTACACATATTGGGATTTTGTTTTAGCAAAGACATGCAGCAGAATACATTTCGGCCTAACTTTATGGTGAAATTTGATTTTTAAAATTGTGTTTTAATGGACATGTTAAATCGCAAAAAGTAAAAAAAATAGTGTTTTTTCTCAAAATTGTCGGTCTTTTAAATTAAAAAAGCAGAGGAGATCAAATACCACGGAAAGAAAACTCAATTTGTGGGGAAAAGGGATGTAAATTTACTTTGGGTACATGACCACACAATTGTCAGTTAAAGTAACGCAGCGCCGTAACGCAAAAAATGGCCTGGTCAAGAAGGGGGGTAAATCCTCAGGAGGGCAAGTGGTTAGAGACACTCATCCTACAGATCATGATGAAGTGGATATAGTCCAAGAATCGTGTCAAGCTTTTAGGAAATAATATCTGAATATGTTCAAGTGCCTAGATATTATATGTTGAATCTAATTCAAGTTGGGGTAAGGGGTGTAAAGGGGTAAAGGATGTAAATTTAATTTGGGTGCAATTGTCAGTTAACCTCCCTGGCGGTATACCCGAGTGTAGCTCGGGGTAAAGTTTCTGTAGCAAAAGCGGTAACCCCGAGCTACACTCGGGCTTACCATGCAGCGCTGCATAGGGAGTCCCTGCAGAGCTTACCTTGTCCTTCGCTCCCGCGATGTGTCCCCTGCAGCGTCCCCGGCCATCTCCTCCGGCTGATGCCGGCATCCGGCTTCTGTGTTCCGGTCCCTGTGACGTCGGGACGTACGGGCGCCACCAGCGGCGGGAAATTTTAAAATTTAAAAGAAATTTCATTTTTTTCAAAACGAATTTTACATAGTAAAACATTGCTGTTTCAAACCATTTCACATACATTTTGTCCCGAGTGCTTTGTCCTGTCCCCTGTCTGCATTTTGACTGTTCTCTCTGCCTGGAAACTTAGAAAAGTCCATGGTGTCCAAAAAGCGTCCCTTTAGGTCAAAAGCGGGTTTAGATCAGCTAGAGAACAGCGATAGTAAATCAGAACCACTTGCAGAATTGAGTGATAATGATTCGTGGAGCAATTCGTCATCAGACACTGAAAACAATTTTGCGACTTTGCTCAGCGATGTGCGAACTTAGCGCTATATTTCAAATTTCTGTGTTTTTGGTTTGATTATATTATTGAATTAAATGTATTATTATTATATTATTATTTTTTTATGATTATTTATTAAATTATAATTCATGATTTTGTGTTTCAAATTTTATCATACCCGGGATGTTTAACCGTTTCAATACCGTGCGATTTTACACCTTCCTGCCCAGGCCATTTTTCAGGTTTCAGCGCTCTCACACTTTGAATGACAATTGCGCGGTCATACAACACTGTACCCAAACTAAAATTTTATCATTTTCTTCACACAACTAGAGCTTTCTTTTGGTGGTATTTAATCACCACTGGGGTTTTTATTTTTTGCTAAATTAACAAAAAAAGACCAAAAATTTTGAAAAAAAAACACATTTTTCTTTGTTTCTGTTATAAAAGTTTACAAATAAATAATTGTTCTTCATAAATTTAGGCCGAGATGTATTCTGCTACATGTCTTTGGTGAAAATAACCCAAATTAGGATGTATTTTTTAGTTTGTAGGAAAGTTATAGAGTTCACAAACTATGGTATAGATCTGAATATTGATCAATCCTGAAGTACTGACAGCCAATCTAATTTCTTGAGGTCCAAGAATGTCAGAACAGTACAGATATCCCCCAAATGACCCCTTTTTGCAGAGTAGACAGTCCGACGTACTTCATAAGAGGGATGGCGAGTTTTTTGAAGTTGTATTTTTTTTTGTCATAATTTTTCAGAAAATGAAAAAATTAAAAAAATTATTTTCACTATTTTTTTTTTACATACTGTCAACAGTGCAGTACAGCATCATCATATAACTGGCATGGCGGTGAACAGGGACACTGACTGGTGACAGTATGAAAAAAAATATATATATTTTTTTTTTTTTTTTTTTTTTATTATATCTAATTTTTTATTACATTTTTTTTTTTTTTTAAGATTTTTTTTTCATATTTTACGATGACCAAAGTAGTACAATGTTACCATAGTAACATTGTACTACTTTGAGGAAGTGATCAGTATTTTTTTTTTTTTTTTTTGCTTTAAGAATTAAGAATTACTTTGCTATAAGCAAGCATTTACCTGAATGAAATCGATTCATTCAGTTTTTTTTTTGTTTTTTTTTTTTGTGCTTAGCTGTGATTTGGTCACAGCTAATCACATGACATGTGCATGTGATTAGCTGTGACCATTCACAGCTAGGCACTAGTATACAATGGATGGCATCATGAATGAAGCCATCCATTGTATACAACTGTCATGTGACCTGCTGTGATTGGTCACATGGTACCAGCAACCGGGAGCCGGTACTCGGATCTGTCATCGGCCGTGTCCGAGGTGCACGGCCGGTGACAGATCGCGCTGCTGCGCCGCTCTGCATTAGCGCAAACTGTGCATGTGCGGGAGCACGCCAAATGGCGTGCACCCGGAATACAGCAGCACATTTGAAGCCGCCAAACGGCCATTGGCTGGGCGGCTAATGGTTAATAGACTCTTGTTCGGACAGATTTCAGTGAGTTATTCCTAAATATTACAGCCTACAATAAAAAAAACGACATATTTCCATGCAAAAAAATGGTACCGCTGTCAGCACCACCAAAAATCTGAAATAATCATACCACCAGGGAGGTTAAAGTAACGCAGTGCCATATAGCAAAAAATGGCCTGGTCAGGAAGGGGGGTAAATCTTCTTGAAGGAAAGTGATTAAATTACAATATACAGTATGTATTACTTTATCTTATGTAATGACAAAGTCATTGTCCAATAAAGAGGTCCATAGCAGAAATGTAAAAACACTGCCCTGGTCCATATGTGGAGTGAAAGGGGAAGTGGCTAAGATGACAGCTTTTTAAGGATCTGTGGAAACGGCCAACAAAGATTATCATAAAACCAGCAAAGCAGAAACTTGAGACCCTGAATAAAACTTATTTACATAGTGGTCTCTTTGTAAGTTTACTGGTGACTACTATGTGACTATTGTCATCCTCTACAAACTAAGCTGCTACCATGTTTGATTAATTGTCCCTGGAGAAACATATAGACAGAGGCGATATTTACAAAATACATAACTGCTATATATAGATGTGCTGCTACAGAATCTTAGACTCCATGCAAGCCCAAGTTTTGCTGATCCAAGCCGATTATGCCTTTCCAGTCCGCTCTTAGATTTACACCCCACATTTTGCACTTCTCTGCTTAGTGCCACAACAACTGAACCACCCTTTCCACACCTGCCAACATTCTGAAACTGGAAGGGGAGGGGGGCCTTTAATGAAAATGTTCAGGCATAACATGGTTCAGTAATTAATATGTAGAGTAAAAAGCTGCTGACCTGTTTCTGCCCTTTTGTTTTTGGATGAATTGCTTAAAGCACAATTGAAGTCTTGCATCTTTCCTATAGTCCTGTACCCCTGTGTTTTTATGATTTCTGACTCTTTTTTGGATGGAAATGCTTTAAAGGCAGGGGTGGACTGACCATTTGGAAATTTGGGCAATGCCCGAGGGCCCGGGGTCAGTAGGGGGCCCCATGAGATGCCCCTGGTACCTTTTTCATAGGCTTTTTTTGAGTTTGGGCAAGGACATAGGGGCCCCAAGATCCCCTATTGCCGGGGGCCCCATGAGTTTTCAGTCCGCCCCTGTTTAAAGGCATTATAAACCTATCTACCTGAACCTTGTGTTTTCCACCTGCATAAGCTGCGCATTGATCCTGTCGTTTCATGGTGCCATTTGTTGCTCTTTACACACAGTGAAGTGAATTCCAGTGTCAGAAGGTTCTGCTTGTTTTCAAATATGAGGCATGCCGTACACATGTGTGATTCATTTTGCTACAAATCGAAATTGGGACAACATTTTTGTTATTCGAAGATTAGGAGATGTATCCAAATCTCCAGATCACAATAGTAACGAATCTCAATGAATTCAAAATAAATTATAATGAAAACAACTAATTTATTTGTATTTATTCATTTCATTCGGAGGACATGATGCAATCCTTTAGGCCTTTTGTTAATGTTTGAAGTGTTGAAATAACATAACGGCATAATGAATAATTCAAATTGTTTCGGATCCTTTCATTTTCGGATGAGTGTGGTGCTATATTTCTTTGACTCTTGGATAATCAGCCATATCTTTTTATTTCATTGATATCAAAAAAGCACTACATATGAAATAGAAACATATTCAAATAAATACAGCATAATTGGATAATATTGACTAGAGTTGTGTGCATCAGTAAGTAACAAATGGAAGGAACGTTATGTTATGTTGTTATGTTAAGTTAACCACTTGCTACACTGCTACAAGGTGGTTGGGCTGCGTAAAATCATGTATATATACGTGATGTTACATTTCTGGGTCAGAGGCGCGTGCACCCTACCAGCACCACCATTGGCGGCTTCATCTGTCAATCACCGGGTCCTGGCTAGTGATTCCCCACCGACACCCGGCGTTCGCCCCAGTATCACTGATAGGGGAGAGACCTGTATGTAAACAATACAGATCTCTCCCCTGTCAGCTCCAGCACACTGCTTTGCATTGTTCTGTATAGCAGAGCAATAAAAAGCAATGTGCTTACACAGTAAAGCACACACAGACAACACAGTAAAACAGCACACAGTTAACCCTTTGATCACCCCAGATGTTAACCCCTTCCTGCCCAGTGTCATTTGTACAGTGTCAGTACTTTTTATTACAAACAGAAACCATTGCAGCTCTAAAAAATGACACAGTGTAAGACCGAAGAAATATTAAATAATAATAATTATTGGTAATGATGATAATAAATCAATAAAAAAAGAACACGCTTTGCTTTAAGACTTTCACAGTTGCACTTATTTTATGCGCCAATCATAGCGCTTCATCCACTTATATTTGCTATCGCTAATATCAATTATTGATTTATTATCAACATCACCAATAATTATTATTGTTTTTTTATATTTTTTCAGTCTTACACTGTCATTTTTTAGCGCTGCACTGGTTTCTGTTTGTATTATATGTAAGGTCTAGGGTTCCTTTTTAGTGCATTTGCGGCTGATTGGATCCCTAAGAACCGCAACCTTTTACAATGCATAATGGAACAAGGCAGGGATGTCCAATTTCACCTCTCCTGTTTATATTATCTTTAGAGCCCTAGTTAGCGACCATACAAAACAATGTAGATATAACGGGAATTCAAGTTGGCGTGGTGGAACACAAAATAGCAGCGTATGCAGACGATGTGTTGTTCTACGTTATAAATCCTAGATTAACATTACCAAATTTGGTGAGAACTGTTAAACAATATGGAAAGCTGTCAAATTTTAAAATTAATCTTTCAAAGTCAGAGATATTGAATAATAATTTAACGAAGGCAGAAAGACAGGCTATACAAGGAAAATTCCCTTTTACACGGAGAGATAAAGATTTAAACTACTTAGGAGTTAAGTTAACCCCGTCACTGAAAGATATATACCAGGCAAAATATATTCCATTATTAAATGAGATGAAGGAGGAATTGTGGAAAATTTCAAAGAGATCACTTTCTTGGATAGGGCGGATAAATATGGTTAAGATGGGGATATTGCCTAAAATCCTATACAAATTCAAATGCTACTGATATATTTGCCACAGGTGTATTTCAGGGTTCTGAATAAAATTATAATGAGATACAGATGGGTAAATAAAAGCCTAGGGTTAATCAAGAGGTACTATGTAAAGATAAAATAAATTGGGGTTTAAATATGCCGGAATTCAAAACATATTATTTGGCAGTAGTATTATCACAAATAATGGAATGGGTGTATAACTCACAGGGGAAAAGCTGGATAAAGATTGAAAAATCACTAAGTGAAGCACAATTAGATAAAATTATATGGATCCCACAACGATATCATATGTTTGCTGAAAATACTAGCAACCTAACACAAAATGTCTTTAGGATATGGGATTTAATTCATAAACAAAGGGGATGGGGGTATAATTCACCACTAACACCACTAGTAGGAACAAAATATTTTACACCAGGGGAGAGTATTAAATCAGGGATGTGGATAAAAGATAGGAATGCACCTTTAAAGGATATTATGAAAAAGGGGGAAATATGTTTTTTTCAGGAGTTGAAACACAACGGGGATACGTTTTATGTGTTGGACGAATGGCGGTATTATCAACTAAAACATTTAGTAGCGGCACTCCCACAGCCAATAGGAGAGGTTGAAAATATGCACCTATTAGAGCATTTGATGTGTTTAGAAGGAATACAAAAAAAAAGCTGCACTTTGCGTATGTATAAGGCACTGACTATAATATCTGAACCGATTTTACCACTATACTTGGAGAAATGGTAAAAGGAGCTGGGAACACAGCTGAGTGACCATCAAAAAAATAAAATACTTAGAATTGTACATGGGGCAACTGATACGAATACAGCTGAGCTGAATTATAAACTCCTGATGAGATGGTATGTTATGCCCAGTAAAGCTCATAAATATCATCCAGAGAACTCTTGGTTATGCTGGAGAGGGTGTGGAATGAGGGGTTCAATGGTACATATATGGTGGGAATATCCCAAAATACAGGAATTCTGGCAGATGATAGTACAACAAATATCAGAAATTGTAGGAGAGAAAGTATAATTGTGGACCCATGGGTGTGTTTATTTCATAGTACGGATCATACAGTAAAACAATATAATAACACAATTGTACCACACTTAATTAATGCAGCAAAAAGGATTGATTCCTAAATTGTGGAAGGCTCAAGAAACACCTAAAGTTAAAGATTGGATAAAGAGGATAGAATATATTGATAGGAAAGAAGAATTATACCATAGTGGAGAAGATAAAATGGGTAAATTTATAAAAATCTGGGAAAGGTCGTGTGAATAAAGGACTACGCAGAGATATGTCATATTTGACATAATTGATGGGGTGAGGGAAAAAAGGGAATGAGAGGAGGGGGGAATGAGGTGATAAGCAGTATAATAAATGGTGCTGAGGGAGCAGTATAAAGGAGTGTATGAGAGGAGGAGGTGGGGGGAATTAGGGGGTTGGATAAAATGAAAACTGTAATTATGTATTTAATTTTGTGTTGGATTTTGAAAATTGTAATAAAAAATATAATAAACCCCCCCCAAAAAACGCAATGCAGAGGCTATCAAATACCACCGAAAGAAAGTTCCATTTGTGGGAAAAAAAGGACATAAATTTAATTTTGGTGCAGCGTTGCACGACCGTACAATTGTCAGTTAAAGTAACGCAGATCCGTATCGAAAAAAAATGGCCTGGTCAGGAAGGGGGATAAAACCGCTGGAGGGCAAGTGGTTAAGTTAAGGTATGTTATGTTATGTTGTTATGTTTTGTTTATATTATGTTATGTTATGAATCAGATATTCGGATGGGTCCACATCCATCAAACCCAGGGTCGGACTGACCATTTGGAAACTCGGGCAATGCCCAAGGGCCTGGGGTCAGTAGGGGGCCCCATGAGATGCCCCTGGTACCTTTTTCATAGGCTTTTTTGAGTTTGGGCAAGGACACAGGGGCCCCATGATCCCCTATTGCCCGGGGGCCCCATGAGTTTTTCAGTCCGCCCCTGATAAAATCCAAACACAATAAGTAGAAATCATCTTATTGCACTTTTATACCTTACTGTATTTATTACAAGTATAAAAGTGACATAGGATTATTCCAATCAACTCATTCCAGTTCTGTTTGTGGGTTGGACAGGGATGAGTGCATATGTAATCTCCCGAAATAATGAATTAACACGTTAAAACAAATATAGCCAATCTTCCAAAATAACTTCCGAAAATATGAATTGATTCGGAACAATGATTATACGAAATAAATCCAAATATAAGAATTGAATTCCGAAAATGAATCATTCTAACATAATGAATATGATCAAATGAAATTAATAACTTAACAAAAGCATCTGAAACTAAATAAGATACATTTTTTCAGTGTGCACATCTCTAGCATGCCACATGGCACTGCACAGGTTAGTACATGACCGCTGTCTGTCGTCTAAATAACAGACACTTCCTGTAAAGAAACTACATATCCCTCAATCTCTGCATCTCTCAGTCAAGTGTTCTGTAGGTGAGAGCTAAGTAGTAATTAGATCTGAAACAGACACAAATAGGCAGAGCAATTAACAGAGAGTTCGCCTTGCTGGAAATGGATGTGGAAGCTGGAAGTGTTGCATCACATTTACACTCCTACATGGTGATGAAATGGCAAGCATGCACTAGACACTTTGTGATCTGGAATAAGAAGTTGCCTGCCCTAGAAATAATCTAGGACAACTAATACATGGACGTAGGGGAATCGGCCATGACACTACAAACTGCAGCCACAACATGTGGGCTTATCACTAAAAGGTAACACAAACAAACAACACAGGAAAAAAAACTTCACTAATATCTACAGTTAGACAATCTTTGCATGTCCCCCCACTCTTAAGACCTCCCCTGTTCTCCTTTTAGTCCAGCGGTGCAGTTGGATGCAGAAGACAAAGAGGCCTCTCATGCTCCATGCCACATGCTTGGGCCACACACGAATGATGTCCTTTAACTTAAGCTAATTTATTGATCTTGCAGAAACAGCATAAATCATACACTGTTAAACTCCACCTAAGGCCACTCTAACGCGTTTCGCCCATAACAGGTCATGCCATGGGTGAAATGCATTAGTAATTGCCTCAGATGGGAGACATGCATTTTCTTTGACAATCTACAAAAATGTTCTTGATGCACATTAAAGAGTGGACTTGCCTTCTGAAAAGTACTGAAAGCATGATGCAATATATCTAGTTTTATTTTTGTTTGTCCTTGCCTTATGCGGCGACTTCATTGTAAAATTATATTATGTTTCATATGGAAAAAAAAACGATTTACATTTTTCTCGGCCTTCCAGCGCAAAATAAAAATTCCTTTCCTGCCACTGCCTGATTCAATCAAGTGGAGTACATTGGATACCCAGAGGCTACAAGAACTGTATGAAGCTGACTTGTATTTTAATTAATAATATGATACACTGTTGCAGTGGCTAGGCCTTTTGGCACTGTTTATGCTTTGTTCCTTAAAAGCTGTAAACAATTTTTTAAAAGTGTGTATAAATCCTTTTTCAAAATCTTTTACAAAGCAAAAAGTATTTTAAAATAGCTTTTTTTTTCTTTTTGAGGAGACATAAGATCTGTTTTTGAGATTAGGGGTACAAGTATATAAGACAAGCATCATAGCAAGATTATTATAAAACCTCTTAGTGCTCCAACTTCCATTTTAAAGGAATTCCTATTACTTAGATTTTCTAAAACATCAGCAAGGATTTGTCTTATTTTTATTCTGCTAAGGTGTTTAATAGCTATGATTGCTGCCAGGTTTAAAAAAAAATCCTCCGTTGAAACAAAAGCTTTTTTATATTTTCTAATATCATAGCTTTTTTCTAAATCTACCACCTAACCATTTATTATTATAATATTTTTTCTTTCTTTATTATATCCAGTACCCAAAAATATAATTTAAAAATATTTTGTTAGTGAAGTAAAAATTAAATATTGCAAATAAATATATTGTAATTTTATATTCAGACAGCAGATGGAGCTTCAAGCTAATTTGTAAGAGTTTTTCAGGCTCTCCTTAGCTCCTACAATGAAAAAATGCTGTTTTCAGCTCAAGCAACCGAGCTCTGTAATTGTAATGCAAGTAAATGAGTCAAAATAGATACTC